GGAGGCCATGGGCTGATTACGCCGCTAGGGATAATTGATTACATGTTTGGTGAAGTGATTAGGTTGAAGGCACATGCATGCGGTAAAAGTCGCAGGTCAAGTGGTCAATGTGTGTTGGCGCGATTGCCAACACACCGAACAATTACTTTGGAATGTAAGATACCAGTCATGTTTTTGTAGAGATATAGTTATTGCCATGGACGGCAACCATCAAGGACAAGATTTATCAACGACAGCTTGACTTGCTTGCCTCCAGCAAATGGGACGGTTCTTACTTAGCCATCCTGGAAAGTGGCCGAAAGATAACAAAGAAGGTCGATCTTTGCAGACATTGAAAGAAGGAGAATTTGGAAATGGGGGAATGGTGTATCGACGGATCCAGGTTATAACATAGCAGGCAGTTACAATATGCCGGCAATGAACGGAGCTTACTCCGTGGCCAGAGCATTAGGTTGCAACCAGGCGTGTTTTCATTTTCCAAAATTCATTTGAGCATCATCCGTGGTGATCATTACGGGGACAAAATTTCCGCGCTGGGAAGAAACCAACGGACGTAACTGCCATACAAGGCTGCCATGACCCAAGTTACAGGCTTATCATGATTAAAGCAATAAGCCGCTACAGAAGGGAAGCCACTACGCAGAAATGCAAGAGACTACAGGTGCCTTGCCGATCACTGAGTACACAATGGATTGGGAAAACGCGCAAAGTGCAAATCGTCATTCATCCCAGTAGAAACAAGCAACACGCCAACACGCAAAAGCTTGCAGTCAAATTAATGTTATCACCTATATCGCTTCATATCCAAAAAAGAGTGGTTAAAGCGCATTTGCAGCTGGAGCAGCCGCAGCATGCAGACAATGCAGCGACGCCAACTACTCACTACTATTCACGAACCATACAAAAAGACTCTGCCTCTCTCAACAATTACTCCCCACTCACACAAACAGCCCGGAACCCTACCGTGCTGTACGGCATCATTAACGCACAACCCCGTCCCCCATGTTTTTTTCCCCCAGAAGACTGCATTCCGCTCCCCTCCAACAACCCGCCCCGCACCACCCCGCACCAAGGAAGGTATCCCCCTTCCTTCATCCCCCTCGCTTTGCGCCACCCACCCTCCTCCCTCCCTTCAGCACAGCGCTCCCCGCGGGCAGCAACCCCCGACCCGCCTACTTGCGTCCCAGGGGGGGTTGGGATCGGCCTGGTGGGGCCCTTCTCGGGGGTGCCACCCTCCCCCCACCACCCTCTAAAGAGGGGACGGGAGGAGAGGAGAGGGGAACGGAACGGCAGCGTCTCATTCATTCGCCCCACCTACCTTACCTGCAGCGGGCCGCTCAGCAGCCCGGCGAGCCGAAACCACCTGGCGCTCACCCAGCCTCCCCCAGTCATGTCGCCGCCGTGCTGCCGTACAGCGGGGGAGATCACCATCGCGCCATCGTGCAAACCCAGTGGGCCCGCCCACTCGGTACCCACGCGACATGGTACCCACCGGCCCCCGTGCCATACACACACACGCACATACCTGCTTCCCCCTACTCCCTTTCACCCCTTTCACCCCTTTTTCCTACCCAACTTCGTCCCCTTCCTACCCACTTCCAGCCTAAAGCCTCCTCGCCTCCCTCCTGCCCTCGCTGCTCCCCTCCGCCCTGCACGGACCCTAGCCTCCCCTACCCCCCTCCCCTGCTGCCTCACGCCGCGGCCCCCTGCGCGTCTAGCAGCTTCCTCAGCCCCTCCGCCACCGCCCCCAGATCCACGCGGTCGCCGTCGCTGTCCACATTCAGGTACTTGTGACCCAACAGATGAGCCTGGGGAAAGGGATAAGGAAGGGAAAGACGAACCACGAACAAAGGGATAAGGAGGGGAAAGACGAACCACGAACAAAGGGATAAGGAGGGGGACAAAGAGAAGGGGAGGAAGGACTGTTTTAAGAGAGGTGGGAAACATATGCATGCGAAAAAGTGAGAGAAGTGAACTGCTGACGTTAAGTGTCGCAAGTGGCTCCGAAACTGCCCCCCGGGAGTGCAAAGCGATAAAGTCATCGACCCGTGGTTCCGGAGGTAAAGCCCATTTGGTTGGTGGGGAGGAAAGGGGGGGAAAGGGGAAATGGGCGCCCAGGGCACGGGGGATGGGAAGTGCATCAACTGTCAACTACCTACGCCCTCAGCACGTGGGGGTCCCAACACACACACACACACACACACAACCCACCGTCCCTCTCCCCGTCCCGCTATCACCCGATGTCGTATCCTTCCGTACAGGTCATTCGTTCATTGAGTGTACGCAGGCGCCTCCTGCCCGCCCTTCCCCCCCTCCAAACCCCCTCCAAACCCCCTCCAAACCGCGCTCCCACCCCCCACCCAACCCCATGCAACCCAACCCCCCACACCAGGTTGTGGTAGTGGTCGTTGCCGGCCGAGTTGTGGTGCAGCTGCGGGGGTTGCCGCCGGGGCGGAAAGGGATCTCAGATCAGGGTTTGTTGTGGGTCAAGTCAATACAATGCCCCCCCCCACTCCAAAGTTCAATTAAAATTCTCCAAAGTTCGTAAAGGAGAGATGAAAGGGCGGCGTTGTCTTCTTCCCCACCAGAAAGTGGATGTCATGAAACCAGTTGTGGCGAGTATGTGAACTGTAGACCACCCAGTGTTTGTGTGTGTGTGTGTGTGCGTGTGTGTGTATGTATGTCTTTTGTTGTTTTTGCTGTTGTTGTTATTACAGCGGGCTAGCAGGTCTCTAAACCGTAAAGCAAAGAAACCGAGCCGTGCTGTTGTGTTTTCCCTCCCATCGTGACTTCCCCCCTTCCCTCCCGTTCCCTCTCTCCCCCCTTCACCTCCAGCACTCCGCCCTTCCCCGGCGACATCCAAATCATGTTAGCCAGTCCCGATCCGTGCGCTCCCACCAGCACACTGGCCTGGCCCAGAACCTGGGAGGTTGTTAGGCGGTTGTTAGGGCGGGTTAGGGCGGGAAAAAGGGAAGAAAAGTGAGCAAGGGGTGAAAGAGTGGGAAAGGGAGAGAGTGGGGGTGGGGTTATGTGCACACGCATGGGGATTTCGACGCGATGGGGGGAGGGGGAGTTCGGGCGGCAATGCAGCAAGTAACCTGAATATGAAGAACGTTTGAATTTTCAAAATGTGTGTTTTCCCCCCCCCCCTTGAGGTTGCTCATCACATCGCCCTGCAGCCATCCCGTAAGACCCGCGCATCCTACCCCACGCTCCACGCGGGCACACGTCCACACATACCCTTTCTAACACCCAACCTCATGCTCCCCCCAACCCCATCCACCCAGCCACTTTTCCGTGCCTGCACGTGGTCAGGGTAGAAGGGAATGTCGTTCAGCTCCACAACACGCAAATCAAAAAACACAGAAGAGGCCCGGCAGCGGTGAGAGCTGCTGCTACTGCCCCGCAGCTGCCGCCGCCGCCACCACCACGGCTGAGTGCTACTGCTACTGCTACTGCCGCCAGGGACGCCGCCTTCGCCGGAGAGAAGGTGTAGTTCTTTTTGTTGCAGCTGCAGCTGGTGGTTCTGGTGTTTCTGATCCTGATGCGACAAAAGGTTTTCGTTTTCTTCCTCGACCCATTCCTGCATGATGATGCGCTGTCTGGCCACGAGGTCACCCTCAGCGGCTGTAGCACCAGCAACAACAGCAGCAGTAGTAGCAGTAGTAGCAGTAGCAGTTTTTCCCTCCTCCTTCCGGTCCTTCATTTGGAACAAGGACATTAAATGCCGCAGCTGCATCCGGCGTTTAGGGGTAAGGAGGCTGCGGTGGTGCTGGTGGTGGTGGTGGTGGTGGTGATGACTCGACCCAAATGATTTTGTAAGGCCGCTTCGCAAACATGCCTCGTCGTTCCAGCGCCAAATCTCCCGTTGAAGCTCCAAAACCACTTCGCCTGTACAGCAAAAAGAAAACAAACTTTCAAATCAAACTGTCAAAACCACCTTGTAACTCGCCGGCGTGGGACTCAGCCGCAAAAAAATGCAAAATACCAGAAGTCTGCCGAAATGGAGGAGTCTGCCGAAATGGTCGCGGACCAACCCGACCCCACAGAGGGATATGAAAACACACCGCATCAGCAGCAACAACAACAATAACATCGTCCCTCCCTCTCCTGCATGCTTTAGGGTTGGTTTGGACGAGTGAAATGTCGACGTGTACGACAGTGTACGACTAGTGTTCAAGATGTGTAAAAATGGATTATTCCTAGGGAGAAGATGAAAGGAGGCGGCGGCAGAGGAGGCCGATGGCAGATGTGTGAGGATGTGGCAGAGGGGGGTCAGGGTTAGGAGGGGGAAGGGGAGCGGTACCGGGCACAGGCCTGTTAACTTAGGGTTAGGGACACACACAGAGAGAGGCAACGAACAAGGGTAGCACATGCCGCTTCCAATGAATGTGATCACATCGTCATAAGTTTGTTTCATAAGTCCAAGCTGTAGCTTGCAGCAGCCTGACTGTCTCCCAACCTCCCAACCTCCTCCAACCGCCACCCCGGCAGCAGCTTACCTTCATTTTCGAACCGGCGCTGTTGCTGCCAGGACGTCAAATTGGTTTGCGCCAGACCCTCGAAGTTCCGTCGGCTGATCCAAACCACCGACTACATGCCGGCCGTAGGGGGGGACGGTAAAGGGGAAGGCGGGTGGTGGTGGTGGTGGTGTGAGGACGGAGGTGTGGGGTTCAGGGGGCAATACGGGTGATAAGCACCCGGATTGATGAAAGGAAGAAAAGGATGTGCACATACATCGGGGATACATACATACACACATACATACGTACATAAACAGACATACAGCTCAACAGCCAAAAGCCCACTCCCTAGCTTGGCTGCCTAGCAGCTAGGCACCTCCCCCAGATCTATATCTCCCACTCGCACCTGCTCTCCTCTCCCTCCCTCCCTCCCTCCCCTAAAAGCAGGCTACACATCTGGTCGCCCCCCCACACCCCCAGTGCGGGGCCAAGAGAGGGGCCTAAGGGGGGGTGAACACCCAAGGGGGGGCCGCTCTTGAACACACCCAGACCCCCCGTGATATGTCCCCGAACGTCATCTCCAACCCGCATCGTTTAAAGTGGTACGAACCCCAACATCTGATTCGTACGGGGCCCCAAATTGCCCTAATGTGCAAAATGTGGCCAATGTTTGGGTTACCATTAGGATTAACGGTCGTAACGGTTTTTTCTCTTCGTTAACCTTCTCTCTCTTTCTCTCTCTGTCTCTCTGGATTGAGGTCCCAACTTCTTAGGGATCCTCTACCCCCCTTGCCCCGAAACCAGCAACGAGGCCACCGAGTTTTACCTTCCGTACGACTCCTTTGTTCTGCTGCTGCGCCCCGAATGCGCTCTGCAGGGGGCTCTGCAGAGCGGCTGACAGGAGGTGCCGTACCCACAACGAGGCCGCCATTGCTACGGAAGACCTAAGGGGGCGGGGGTAGGCAGGGTGTGTGTGGTGGTGGGAAGGGGGGGAGATACACAGCGCAGCATACATACGGGATACCAGATCTGCATACATACATACATACATACATACATACATACATACATACATACATACATACATACATACATACATACATACATACATAACAGCAGGACGCAGACGTCGTCTGCATGAGAGGGCTAACGACCCAAACACGCTCGAAATACATACAGACAGACACACCTGCAAGTGGTCCTCCGAGCCACTCCCATCGACGTCAGGATGGAGGACCCGCCGTACGTACTGTGTACGGCACGCCTGCGCAGGGTGGTCGGGGAAAACGTGTGGGTGTGTGTGGGGTTTGAGGGTGTTCAGCCGGCGGGGGAGGGCGGGTGAGGGCGGGTGAGGGCGGGGGAGGAGAAGGGGTGAAAGAGCGTGCGGGGGAGGAAAAGGTAGTGGTGGTAGTGACTAGTAGTGGTGGTAGTGGCGGTAGCGGCAATGAGGGCCGTGATCTGGCTCATGTCGGCATCTGACCGCGTTTGTCCATTGTTTGGATCAGGTACTTACGTTATAAATCAGTATGCCTTGTAGCAAAAGCCGTAAGACAGAACTCTCCGCCGCTTACGGTCGGTGAACTAACTTTAGTTCTTCCCGGCAATCTGAGAGCCATCACATCACGATATTCCCGGAGCTCAAGGTTGTTGACAAGGTTGTGGGGTAAGTAGCTGCTAAGTGTCAGATGCCATAAAAGCAAATCCATCCATTCCTTCTGCTGCTGTCGCCATTATGTGTGCTCTGCTGGAACAGGTGTCCAAGACCCTTGCCGAGTACGCCAAAAGCAGTCATCAGCAACACGGCTCGCTCCGAAACCCACCCAAACCAGCCTCATTCCCTGTCATACGCATCCTCTGATCCGTGCCGTACACACGCACATACACACTTACGATAGACACGTGTTTGGCGGGTAGTGCTGCTGCGACAACAGCCTCAAAGGGTAAGGTCGGGACAGAGCGGCCCACAAATCCAGATAGAAGCCGTCGGGCTTGCCGTCAGCAATAACCACCTGTCGACAGAAACGAGTTGAGTTTTGGATGTTAGGGTTTTGAGTAGTTTATAGTTGGCAGTACGACCATTTTGTTTTATACCTCGAGATTTTCCGGTTGTCTTGCAGTACGGTAAAGGCCGTGTACGAGTCAAATTGCCTCTCAATACCACAATAATATCGTTTTACTAGACAATTGCTGGCGGGATGTGTTTGCATGAAAGAGAGGCAAACGTGAGTCGGGGGGAATCGAGGGTGGGAAGAGGGAATCGGGGTAGGTTGGGGTGAGGGAATTTGCTTGGGTACGTGGTCCTTGATGAGGGTTGGGGAATTACGCATCCAGCTAGGAGCAACGGACCAACTGCCAACGTCCAAACTACCAACCGCCGCAATGTCCCATGGGGGTTGATGGGGGTTTGGAGCTACGTACCCATACGCACATACATACATGCATACCTGAATTCCCTTCGTGGCAATGTCAGGGTCCTTCAGCACTGCAAGGGTAGTGAAGGCAAAAACCGCCTCCTGCGAAAGGGGTGGGGATGGGGTGGGGGAGGGGAAAGGGCCTTAAGACTACAAGTCAAAGAAAGGGTTGCTTACGAGCGAAGCGAAATGGTCGTTGAATTTAAATTTCTTCCGGGAACAAAACCAACATATTTTTTCTATAAAAGCTGTTGTAAACATGTTGTAAAGCTGTGGGGGGAACGGGATCGGGCGGTTGTGTGTGTGTGTGTGCCTATGTGTGCGTGCGCGGGGTTGTAGCATTTTCGTTTGGCGGAGCGCTATGGCTTGCGGTACAAATTCATGATATAATTTTTAATAACTAACAATGCCGTAAAAGCCGAATAATAAACCTAAAATGGTGAAGAGAGGACGGCCTTTAAACAGGGGCGACAATACGAGCTGCAAAAAATAAAAATCTAGTAGACAGCTCGACTCCGTATCCCCCAGCATCCTGTCGTACCTCCACTGTACGGAAAGCATTTGTCGGATCGGTTCGTGACAGCAGCAGCACCGGATGTTCCACTGGACCAGACAGCGATTGACTCTCACCACCAGTGCTGTTGACTGTCTTGGCCGTACATGCCTGTGATACTTTACCGTACGCCTCCGTCTGTCGTACAGGACAGGGAGTTGGGGGAGTTGCCCATCACGAGGTTTAGTAGATTGGCGGGAAATCAGAGAGAGAGAGAAAAGTTTGAAAAGTTAAGAAGCGCTGGGGCCATTCCATTCCAAACCGCTCCTGTGACATAATTAGCCCCCGATGGCGAGCAGACAACGGAGCCACTCGCCACATGTCCGCCCGGCTGCCGGCCTTACATCCGCGGAATCTAACTCCCCGCTCATTTCTCCCCCCCTCCCCCCAACACACACACACACTGCCCTTTCGGAGGATCGAGGCCGTGTTGGCCGCGTGTGTGTGCGTGCATCCCTTATCCCCTCCTCTACCCTCCCCACTACCATCTACCTTCAAAAACATACACATGGACAAACACATACATACATACATACATACATACATGCAACGCGTCGCGTGTCCACTTCCTGATTCCCTCCAGCTCCACCATGAACTCCTCTCCAGGGAGGCCGGGGAGGAGGGGCGGACCGGAAGACTTGGACCCCTGGCCCTCACCTCCCGCGCTCCCCCCCGACCCCGCCCCCGCCCCCAGGCGACATGACGCCGCGTAGGAGCCGGATCGGGGCTCAGGGAGGCCGCCCGCCAGTGAGCCCAGGAAAGACCTGCGGGTGGGGGGGAAGGGAGGGAGGAAGGGAGGGGGTGGGGGGGAAGAGGAGGGGGAAGAGGAGGGGGAAGAGGAGGGGGAAGAGGAGGGGGAAGAGGAGGGGGAAGAGGAGGGGGAAGAGGAGGGGGAAGAGGAGGGGGAGCAA